TGTTGGCAACCGTAGCTGATTTCAACCGGGGAAAGCTGAACAAGCGAAAGCTCGATATCAAATGAAGGGCGATTCGGCTAGCTGGATGGGCCATCTTTGTACAGTCGCTTCTTAGTCGCACACCAACGACAATCGAAAATGGTCATGACAGGCTTGAAACATGGGAGTAAGAGCCGAAGGCATGCTTCCTTCTGACAACTGCGCTCTATTTTGGCATGATATAAACACTTTTCCATACGATGCTGTGGCCGGATAAAGCCAGTGACATATTGATAAGCTGCACCTTCGACGGACACAAGAAAAAAAGCTTCGCTTCTTGCGCCAAATTTGAAATACCCGCCTGCGCTGAGCGCTCCGCTTCCTTTTTTGTTACCCAGTGGCTGCACAATGAGCTAAGGGTTCCGCGTTCTTTGATGCAGGCGCCATGAATGTTTTATCAATTCGGGTTGGTCGCTTCGTCCTCTGCTGCCCACCCCTTCGCTGTTCTCCAAGTAGGTTGACAAACTACCATCCTCATCAGCAGCGGTACCAGTCAGAACAACTAAACGTGTGACCCACGCCACCAAAAACATCATGCACTCAGAGAACACTGGGGCGTTTCCCGTTCGGTATTCAATTCTTTATGAAGGCGCTACAAACGGCGTGTAGAAAGAAGCAGAACCATATTGAACAACGGCGACGAATTCGTGAATGGTATGCGCACGGGAACCTAGAATTTCAGCCGGCCTCAAAGCAGCCGCTCGCCCTGTTACCAACAAACCGACTACCCATACTCGAATCTTCGTTAGTTACCCATGCGTCAGCGGGCCCACAATGGCTGAAGAGCTATGGCATTCCTGATGCATACCCAAATCACGTGCGAAGGCATAGACGTCGCACGGCACAATTGAGCAGGTTCAGTTTGCTAGGGCGTACAATGCATGACCCTGAACCTTCCTCCGCTAGACTCCGCTTATTCACTCCATAGGTCCTCAAACTTTTGTTGGATTGGAGGGCATTGAAGCACTGAAGAGCCAAAAACACCGCAACAAATGTGGCCGCCAGGACAGCAAACGCTACGAGGGGCAATCTTCGGCGTTCAGGTTTGGAACTTATGTAATTGGAGAATAATATAACCTCAGATAGGGGAATAGGAACGCCAGGCACATGAACGGAGTCAGTGGCCTTCGGCAGAAGTGCCACGAAGGCAGCGAGAAGCGGCGTGAAAACACGCATTTCGCAGATCAGGTAGGTGTGTTATTGCATTTAGTATGCGACGAAAAACAATTTCGTGAACATTTCAGCAGAGGTGTGGAAGTGGTGCTTCGTGCTAACCCCGGCCTGCTCACCATCAGTCGTCGGTGGCTATTGCATGTTTGTAAGATCCTGCAGTTGCCAAAGCTGCACAACTCCAATATTGTCTTGTAGATGTAAAGTGCATCGATGTTCTGTCACTATTCGTGCATATACTTGCCCCGTTTTTGGCAACTAGGGGCAATGCTTACGGTTGTGCCTTCATTGGAACGGCTTGCCTCTGGACCTGTTGAAACCTGACCGGCAGTACCGGCAGTCCGGGTGTGCGTACTCCTGCTTGTTCGCATGGTCTTAAATGTGCAGATTTCTAACGAAAATAAAAGGCCAAATGCTACTGCCTTTAAATTGCCGGTTCGCGTCCTTGGATTATGTGCTTCGTAACGGCGTGGCAGGCGTTAACTCCGGTGTGAACGGTGAGGCGCCTGCAACAAAAGTAACTTCGGCACTTCACCACTCCCCACCAGCCCGCATATTGCCCTTCTTGCGGCGTTATACACAGAGGTAAGGAGTGAGTAGCACGCGACTGCCTGATGCCCTCCCGAATCGGTGGCTTGCTGAGAGCGTATCATTCCAACTGTTGTCGCTGCCGTCGGTTCCTAGAGAGAAGCGTAACTCGAAACCAGCGAGCACATGTACTGGAGAAGACATGAGGTGTCTGAGGAGGGTTCTGGTCGTCGTTTAAAATATGTTGCCTTTCCTTGCTGGGTGTGTCTTTTACGGGGGACGAGACGCGAGCTACCCTGGGAATAAAGTTGCAGTCCAACTATGGAAGAGAGGGAAATTTCCTGAGCGTCCACTTTGGTGTACAAGGGGAGCAGCCACCGAATTACAGCTCGTTTCGTCGGGTGTGATTCGACGCCCGTTACAGGGGAACGAAGGCCGGTGTAGTTCATTGCTTGCGTAATTAACCACTATTGGTTTGACGAACCCCAACCCCCCACTTAGCAGTTTCACAACACGCCGCCGATGCTGCAAGTGCTTTTGCGCATTCCGGCTAAATTCAAGCACTTTGTCTGTGTAGGTATATACCCATCTGCCGTTCATCGGGTTCCAAAATCGTGACTTACGTGTCGCTGCAGCTTTGCAAAAGGAATGGAGAGCCCAAAGAGAATACAAGTGTGCTCTAGTTTGCCAATGCGGGTCTGAAATGGATTCTTGTGCTGTTTATCGGGGTGCTCTGGGATAGCCCTAAACGCACCAACAAGTTCGAATGATTAATAGATTGCTGAACTGTGAAGGCTATCAGTTCGCTTCCCTGATAAATCAGAAACTTGTGTAATAGCGTAATTTTGTTTCTAGTTTGGAAGTCGGCGCATATGGCCCAGTCTCCTCCCGTTTTTCGCTTACAAGCCCGTTGGTTGATGGATTTACTTTTCATTTTCGTAGCAGATCCTCCGTTTGCCTCTTGATATGCGAAGCGAGAGGCATTCGGCTTGCTTCAATGAAGCGGATCGAGTGGCGTAGCTTGTGGCCGGCCCGCTGGACGCTCCTCCTTAAGTAGTCTACCTGATAACTCTTCCTTCAGCTGTGTCTACATGTGCTGTTTTTCGGATGTCTTCGGAGCTGAATGTTCCAAAGTTCCGTCTGCGTAAGACGGTTACGACGGAGCTAACGCAAGCCCCTTTTCTTCCCTGAAGCGCCTCTGAACTGCACCGGAACCTTTTCGGACCTTCTGGCTGATTTCACTTCTCTAATAGTACAGGATTCCAGTGTTGTTGGGTATGCTGAAAGGCGCACTAATTCATCAGCTGCTACCGCGTAGGTCTTTACAATGTCTTTTGGAATATGCATAGCTGCCCTCCACTGGAGCACCAACAGAAGCCAAGCATTGTGTTATGGTGAACTGCTCCAGCATGGAAGCCATGTATCCTCGTAGTATAACTTATATCTGAGCCACTGGCTGAGTTCCTGTCTGCCATTGCCGCAACGTAGCAGAGACTGCACCGTGAAATAATTCGGTCGCGTGAACGAATGACTCACTCGAGGCGATTTGGAACATCAAACCCACCAGGAAATTTAATGTTTCCTGATCCTATTATTAGACTTTGCATAAGAAATTGTAATTTGTACCTTAAGCTCAAACGCACGGCGGAAATGTAGCTCACATTGTTAGCTTCAAATGACGCTGTTGCTTGACAACTAGACTGTGCGGAGTTGAGCCAGGCACCTCGTATCATGGATGCTCTATACTGTTAGAGCCAAACGACTTGAGATAGGAAATCCTCCCAACTAGCTGACCTACTGTATTCTCCAGGCGTTATGGGTCCTGTGGCACGAGGGCCTGGCGCCGGCGCTTATGGTATCATGCGTTGCAGCACATCTTGCTGCTACACTTGGTGCAAGGAAAACCCAAGTGCAAACATACCCAGGCGCTTTTCTCTGCATGCACTAATGCTGTGGTCTACGCAAAAGCTAGCTCGGCCGTTTGTAGCAGCTACAAACGCATCCGACATACCACGCTACACTGGCATGTCAGCACAGGACAGCGTTTATTGTTAACATCCCACGTGTATTCCATACTAAAACAGCTCACGATGGTCTGAGGCTAAGGTTGACGAATACCGTCGCATCGGCGCACTGCTATGGTGGTTGCCTTGCGCCAGCGCGGAGGTGGACGCTGAGAGCCCGATTAGACGTTTGGATGCACTTGACGCAAAATAACTCACTTACTCCATATTACTTATTTGTTTTAACAACTGAACAGCTCCTAGCCATAACTTTTTGTGTGCAAACGTGGCACATTGGGCAGTGACATGGAAAGAAGCGACTAACTTGCGAGGTAACCCTACGGGTTGGACGCAGGGGATCACCAAAATAACCCCGCGTCCCGCCTTCCGCAAGATTCGACATTTACTAGATCCTCATCCTTGAGATCATCAATACGAATATACATGAGAACTACCACGTGAAAAAAATGACGGCACGCCATCCAGCCGGGACCTGTCGTGTATGTCGGAGTGACGTGGGGCAAGAAACAAGCACTCATCGGCTGCCTCTGGTTCACTGACAGGATGAAATGAGGATGAAGAACGATGTACATTGTAAAGTAATTGATGGCGGACGCAAAGTAGGGGGACTCCGTGCGTTGTCGCCCTGTGCAGCCGAAGGTGCAACTGGTCCACTCTGATGCTAAAGCCGCTGCGACACTCTTCGGTAGCAGGTTTTGACTGCATTTCCTCTTGCGTGTGCACATTACTTTGTTTCCTCCCTTGAGGACCCTCGTGAACAGCAGCAACTTGCGACTACCGCTCGTTGCAGCATTGGCTGATTTCAACGCAACGCATCGGCCGCCGAAGTGTCTTCGCAGGCAACCACCTCGCATTTTGGGCGTCTTCTTTGCACACGAGACGACACACATCTGGTTTACTTCCGCTTTGCTTGTTTTGGACTACCTAAGAAGTCAGCAGCCGTGCGGCTCAGCGAAGTGGGGTGGCTGCCGACACCGAAACCCGCACTTGTTTGTTCTCACCCAGTGCGGGAACGACATGACATGTTCCTTAAGACGGGCTTGTCTTGGCTTAACCTGGTTCCAACAAGAGGATAGAGGGATATGTCCTGGACGCCATTTCGCTGATGCTTTAATTTGAGCTGCTGAGCATTACTGCAGCGAAGCCTTCAGGTTGGTCCTGATTTACGCCGCTGCCTCTAAGGCTCTCTCCCAATTCTCTTCACTGAGCCATTGGCATCTCTGTGGCGTCATTCGGCGGATGCTCCCTCAAAGCCATGCTCAGTTCGGCGGTTCGCACGACGTAGCGGCAATGCAACCTAGCTTATGCGCCCCTCGGCCTGTCTCATCCACGCCCGGCGCGGGCTCTAACGAAACACGTAAAGCTGGAACGGAGGCGGCTTGTGTTAAAGCAACGGACGGACGAGTGCGAACTGTGATCCTGCCTGCCAAATGTTCGTCACAAGAAACGCCGATTGGGCCGGCAGGCCTCCCGGGAGTTGTGCCTAGCAAGCCACTTAGTCCCCTAGATGGCGTCAGAGAACTTCAACATGATGCAAGCTGCAATTCGTCATTAGCCCACACGGAGGGGGAAAAGGATAGCCCCGGCGAGTATTGTCTTGGGCTAAAGCAGCTGGCCCTTCAGTCAGTGCTGTTGTTTGTGTCGTGGGTCTCTCTCGCTCTCCTTCATCCCAACGGTTGTCCCTTGCTTCTCCTGTTCGCCATCATTTTATCTCGACTGCATTTGGGATGGCTCTTGTGCTGCGTTTTGCGCATGCTGCTGCCGCGCTGCAGGTGAGTGCGCCAGTAGAAGTCCTTACCCTTCCTTCTATCCTTGGGTCCAGGGTTAAAAACAGGGGCCCTGCACAGAAATAGACAGGAACGCACAAGCTCCTTCGAGACACAAACACGAGCCGCGAAGTATTCGCGCTGCGTGTGGAGCGCGTTGTTTATAATGCGTTTCTGTTTCGTTTTGCTGTCCTTACGTTGCCTAGCAAGGACCCTCCCGAAGGTTCTAAGGAACCACACCAGGGCAGGCTGTCTGTGTTACTCGGCCATCTGGGAGACAGATGTTGGAGCCGGCTGCCTCTGCGCTATTGGCACTGCGCATTTTATCTGTTGCTACTGCTGGCGGCCTTCTGGGCTGCATCGGTGGTGTGGGACGACTCGCAAGAGGGGCTGCAGGCCCTCCAAGGCGGAGGTGGGATGCTCCTTCCTTCCACGCAAGCCTGGCTGGGAGGGGGCCTTCCACCTTTGTTGCTTAACTCCGACTCGCCACAGCATGTGAAAATCGCCGCTACAGCGGTGGCCCGAGGTCGGGAGGCATCGGACCATCTTCTTTGGCTGTTGCACACTGCACCGCAGCAGCATTTCGGGAAGATGCTGCTGTGGCTGCGCGCCCTTACCTTCGGGCTAAACAGTTTTCTTCTTCAGCCCTTTCTGGCCATATTAAGGCACACCGGCTTCATCGCTAGCGTCAACGGCACGTGCAGCCTTTCTGATGCCCCTGAGGCGTCACCCGACACCGAGAGCCCCCACGAAGGATGGCTTCTGTGGCTCCAAGTTGCTATTCAGAATGCAGTGCGCAGTCTTCCAAGCACCGCGCACACTTTCTTGTGTGGCGGTGGTGCACGTGGAGGCCTAAGTACAGAGGAGGAGGCGACTGTGTGGTCTAAGAGTGCCCTTGAGGCTCCGCTGGACTTTGGAGTGGAGGGCAGCGTCGTGGAGATGGGGCCCTACTGCGTGGCGCTGCTGCTGCTTCTAGTCTATGCACTATCTACGACTCTGCACAGGGTTTGTCTTGCGGGGTTCGCGGCGTTACGAAGCCTCCTGTTGGTCTGGGGGATCGACCAGGCCAGCTCCTCGACTAGACCCTGGGACGAGTGTTTGGCTGTTGCCTGCAGGAGTTCACTAACTGCCTTTGCAGTTGCCTTTGTGCTGCTTGCACTACTGTGGAGCGCAGCAGCAGCGACCGCCAAAGGCGGTGCCTTGGTGGGATGGGTCTGGAGGCGGATGTTTGGTAGAAAAGCCATTGAGCCTGCCAGGAACAGCCACCACAGGGCTGGGGATTACAGCAGCAATAGCCGCAACACTAGAGTGCACACGGGAAGCCATCGAGGGGCTGGAGGGCTGGAGGTTTTAGCTGCGTGTGTGACGTGCTGGGTGCTGCTGCTCTCGGACCGCGAATTTGTCATGTTCACTTGGGCCACGATGCAGCCGCTGCGGCTTTCGTTGCTCTCAACTGTGCTGCTACTGCGACTGCCTTCTTCGCAAGTGGCTGCTTTGCTGACTTGGCCTCCGCCTTTGCGAGAGCCAGCGCTGGTGCTGCAGCGGTCGCAGCCCCTCAAAATAATTGATCCTGTCGCTGTGGGATCGATGCTGGGGTGCATCCTGGCAGCTGCCGCGCTGCGTCTTGTGCTGCTACTTCTGGCCAAGGTGGGCGGCCTTTTCAGGAATCCTTTCGCGTCGTCGTGCACGGCGCAACCCGTTGGCGGCCTGAGGCTGCTTGGCGTCTCACGGGGGCAGTGGGGGGTGCGTAACAGCCCTTCGGGTGGCGACTCGCCTACTCCCAACAGCTTGTTGCAGAAGATGCAGGAACAGAACCGCGTCATAGCGGAGCTACAAGTGTCGCTTAAGAATGAACGCTGCAGGGCGACACTGGCGGAGGAGCGCATTGCGAAGTTGGAGGAAGAGGCCCGCGCACAGATAGCCAAGGCTCCTCCAGAGGGTCACGCAAACAACCACGCACACACACGACCAGACAAACCGCAGGCAGATGCCTCGCCTGCATTTGCAGTGGCCGAGAAGATTAGCAGGGGGAAGGTACGGCAAAATCAGCAACAGGACCACGGCGAACAGCAGCATGAGCAGCAAGAGCACCCGAAGCAGCACCAGAGCCAGGAGCAGCAGCCGCAGCAGCAGCAGCAACAGGAGAGCGGCTCTCCTGCGGAAGGTGAACAGCAGCAAGCATCTGAAGCAGCGCAGCAGCAGACGCGTCTTTACGTTGAGGAGCTGCGCGAGGCCCGGGTACAGCTGGAAGTGCTGCAGAGCCAACTTCGCGGTGCCCAGAACCAATTAAGCGAGCTGCAACGGAAGCGTGACAGGGAGGCCTCGGCCTACGAACGGCGGCAGGAGCAGCTGGAGGCAGAGGCTGCGCAGTGGAGAGAAAAGGAGGGAGAGGCGCGTGCCGAGCGTGAGCTGCTCAAGGCGGACCTTGCGGAGGCGGCCCGGAAACTTGAGGGTTTGAGACAGGCGCAATGGGAGCAGCAGCGGCAAGCCGGCTCTGCTCAGGCGGAAGATAAAGCACAAATCCAGCGCATGACGCAGCTGCTCCAGAAGCAGACGGAAGATTTGGCGAAGAAGACAGCGGAAATAAATGAACTCCGTGGAAAGTTGACCCAGGTGGCCTCCAGCTACGCACGGAGGCCCACCCGCCTCGTTGACTCTCAGTCGCAGACACCTCTCGTGCAGCGCGAAGGCCTTCTAGGGCTGACAGAGGGCCCCGCGCCTACTGAAGTGGTGGAGCAGGTCTTGATGGAGCTCAATGGCATTACGCACAGGATCAAACAAAACGTTGAAAACGACACTAAGACGGTCAACTTCCACAAAACCCACTTCAGCAGCCTTGCGAAACTCTCCTATGCCTCAGGTGCTGCCGCTTCAGCAAACATATCAGAAGATAGCGAGCCTCCGCCAAACCCAAGTAAGTCTGTCACCAGTTTGCACAATAGAGAGGAGAGGCATGCGCCAGATTCAGTCTTGTGCATTATTGTCCCCCCCTTCTCCAGTAGGTTACTTTGCATAAGTCGTTTAGTTACAACTGGACTTTACTCTATGTTTGTCTCTTGATTACCTGGCGAGACGATGCGTTTCTGCTGCAGACCTTGCTTGCGGGTTTCTTGCGCACAGGCTCAAGGGACACGGCCTTATCTGGAGATGATCCTCCCCTGCTAGAAGACCCGACCTCTCTAGACCCGTCGGTGAGCGGGCTGCCGTTGCTTTCATTTGGGGTGGAGGCTCGCTGGTGTGTGTTTCTATTTCTTACGCCTCTGCTGGCTCTGCGCCGAGCATACGAACAATGGCTTCTGCAGTGTGCGCTGGTGCGGTCCTTCAGCACCGAAAGAGTCCCGGGGCATTCCGGCGACCGGCACGCAAGGAAGCACTTCCAAAGGAGGAGTTGCGGAAGCTTGGGGAGGCGTTACAAACCATCAGCAAGTGCATCTTTCCTCTCCGCACGGTGCTGGAGCACCTCGAGCTGCCCCAAGCGACTCTAGACGCCGCGCGGCGACTGCTGGGGACCACTATGCATTACACTGGAGACAGCATGCGATTGCAGGAGACTCTAGCGCGACCCAGCAAGTGCACTTGGAAGGGGGATGTGGAGGCGTTGGTCACTATCTTGACAGTGCTTGGCCGGGCCTGGCCCTCCGAGGAGTCGTGCAGACGTCTTTCGCAGCGCGAAGGGGATGTCCACACACTGTCGCCTGTAGAGCAAAAGGCAAGTTTTTCGATTGAATGAATCAGCGCTGTCATCGGTTTATCTCTCTTGCTTGTTTGCAGCCCTGGCGTGTGTGATGGCTGCTTCTGCTTTGCAGTGTGGTGTACCCATGCTGTTATCTTGGGGCTTTATCGCAGTTCCTCCCACTTGCAGATCTGCCTCAAGGGCGGCAGCGCGTGACAATGGTGCAGTTCGTGTTGGGCCTCGACGCGCAGTGGCAGGCAGCCCGCCGCCGGCTGGATCGTCTGGAGGCAGCTTTGCGGCTGTTGCGGCAGTCTCCGGTGCTGCGTGCATTGTGTGTCACTTGCGCTGCCCTCCATGAAGAAATGAACGGAGCGTTCACTTCTGAGGGCTTAGAGAATACAGAAGTCATGGAGAAGGCGACAGGGAATGCCCCAGCAACGACAGCCTCAACGCAGAGGTGCAAACAAATATGGGGAACGAATGAAAGCTGCGAGGCTGCCGTTGATCAGTTCAAAGTCTGGAAAGACAACTGCGAGTTCAACTTCGCGTGCCTGCAGAATGCCGCCAACATCCATCCCCCAGGCCTTCCGGGGCTCTCTTTGCTGCATCTCGTTCTCTGTCGAGCCGCGGCCGCAGCTGGCGAGAGAGGCGCCAACCCCAGCATTAATGCCAGCGAAGCGGAGTGGGAGAACGCGTTTCCGCAGAGGTTGAAGACAGAAATATACGGCGGCGCTTCAGCTTCTTTCTCCTCTTCTTTAAACGATACAAAGACCAGTTCTAGCTCGCCCCCCTCATGCCCCTCTACGGCAGCACCACCGACGCAGAGGTGCGACTGTCCCGTTTGCCTGGATGCGGACGTTGCCATGCACGGACCTACGCGAGAGTGGCGGAGGCAGCTTCTGATGATGAAGGAACAGCAGATATTCAAAACCCCATCCAGGAAGACATTTAGCCCCTCAGCTGAAGCACCTCACTTGCAGTCACTTACGGCAGCAGCATCAGCAAAAGAACAGGTTCTTTGCCACCTGGCGCCATCTGGCTTCCACTTACCAACAGCAACCACAGGACCTGACCAAGTCGCCGTAGCTGCCGCTAAACCCAAGTCCAAAGTTTATGTTCACCCTAAAGCCTTAGTCCCCTCTTATTTAAATCACTACCGCTATTACATATACCTTCAGTCGCTGCCGCAGAATCGCCTGGCTCGTTCTGGTGTGCGTGGCGCTGGAAATTCGCAGGATACGCGCTCAGCGTCCGAAGGCCTCGAAGCTGCGATTGCCATGGGTGAGTTCATCATGGGATGCAGCGTTGGAGCAGTTATATGTATATATATATATATACATGTGTATATGTATATGTCAGTATATGTATAGGCCAGTGTATGCATAGGCATGCATGATCTCGTGCACATGGACGCAGCTCCATCCGAGTATGACTTGGCATTGTGCAGTTTCACTGTACTACGACGACTTGACTGGGCGGCAGAACACGTTGGCGGACATGGGCCGACAATTACAGCAGGAGGTGTCCGTGGCGAACCGTTGTTGCAGGGGGTTGTTGCAGGGAGGCGGAATGCTGGGTTCGGGTTCTGTGGCTTCGCAAGCCTTCAATCCCGCTTCTTCTGCTTCCCCCGAAATGGAAGATGGGGGACGTAATGCTCCCATTCGAAGGGTACAGGCGCCTCCTGCAGCTGAAGCTGCCAGCGTGCCGGGTCATGTGCCCACAGAGACCGAACGAGGGCTGGAGATGGCTTGCCAGATACTCAAGAACGTCCACGCTGCAGTGCCGCTTCTCACAGACGCCTGGTTAGTTGCACTGGCAGTTTGAGCTACAAATGTATCTGCAGCTTAAGCTGGCTCTGTTATGGGTCGACAGCATATCTGATAATCTGCAGCAGTTTCTGTAGTCGTAGTCGCCAGTCGCGGCCGGTAAGCTGCTGATACGACCGACATTACTTCGTTGTGATATGCAAAAGTACTAGTTCGTAATAGTTCCACTGGAGGCCAGCGGTCTACCTCACAAACATCTGGGACGCTTCAGTGAAGCGAAGGCACTTCAGGATCTCTGGGAAGAGCGACTCCCTGCACTGCTTTGCGCGTGTGCGGCACAGGAATGACCTCACTCTGCGCAAAGGAGACGCCTATGTGTTGCGGACTGGGCTGTTAGACATGTGGCCCATGAAACAAGGGCTTGCTGATAGAATTAGAAGCAGCGCAGCCGGCGTGCGTTTGTAGGGCCGTTTACATGTGTAGATTACCCCAGTTGCCGTTCACCACATCGAAGGGCATGCGCAGTCTACGCCTGCAGCAGCTAACCAGCGAAATTATTAGCAAGAGACGCCGATGAGGTTCACCGGAAACTTCTCAGCATGCCTTTTTGTGCGTCTCTTAGGCCTTCTCTAGATCGCCGCAACTGTTGTTGCAGGCCGAGGTCTCCCCGTTGCGAGCGATGGTAGCCAAGGCGTCGTCTGCTGCCGCAGCAGCGGGGGCAGCAGTGAAGGCACAAGAAATAGTGCGCCGCGTGGATGTGCCTGAGAGCGCGGCGGCGCCACAGAGGAGCGTGAGGCAAGACGGAGCTAGCCGACTTGCTGGATCAGTTGCAGGGAGGCACCTGCACCTTGAGGCCACGGATAGGAGCAGCCGCGGCAGCGACAGGGCTATTCCGTGCCCGACATTGTTAACAAGCCAAATGGCTTCAGCGCACCTCGCGAAAAGCAACCGTCCACGACAACCAAGCACAACTGTCGTTGGCAAGCCAGCTAGACCTATTGGCGCTGGGAGCAGCTACAGCACAAGCGACTCCCTGGCTCAGGGGAGGAGGGCTCCCGCTCACTTGCGCAATTGGAGTGGGGGATCCGCGGCAGCCCAGCCGAAACAGCTGCACGGACGAGCTGGCCGTTTTAATACGCAACCTGTAGAAGACCCAGCCTCGCAGCAGGCGAGGACCGCCGGGAAACAACAGTCAAGTGAACCTGTAATTATGCCTCAGCCGCAGCAGTGGGCACTAATAAGTGGCCAGCAACGCAGAGCCAGTGGGCCGAGAGGTGCCTTAAACAGCAAGGCGTTCGAACGTATCATCCCACAGCAAAAGCAAGAGGCAGCCGATGCCGCATCGACAACTTCTGGGATCTCAGGAAATGCTAACAGGGTTCAGAGATCGCCGCAACGTGAACCTGCAGCAGTTGTACCATTGGTAGCCTCTGTGGCACAGAGTGACAATGGGGACCAGCGATCCCCCTCTCTGTGTTTGCTAGAATGTACGGAAAACCATTTCGAGCCTGATGGACCGGGAGAGAGTGCCATAAGCCGTGGCCCTGCCGAAGGCCAGTCGGCCCAACAACCGCAGCGCCTGGCCTCCCCTCCTGCAGCTGCTGCATCGACCTCAGTCGAGCAAAAGTGAGTGGCAGTGTTGTTGTTTTCCTGCACTCTTTCCGGCTTTTGAAGCTCCATTCTATATACCCCGGAGCACCATTTTACCTACTCGTCTGCATTGGTTGCGGGGTCTCCCGTCGTTCCACGCGTTAAAAACTTTCAAGTGATATTTTTTCAAGCTTTCCCAAATGGGCGTGAAGAGCAGTGCTCAATTGCACGTTGCACCAGCCCAAATTAGAACCAATACCCTTAGTGAAAACATATTGTACGCAGAACCTACCTGCGATACAATATAAATACTGCGACCAGAATGCAAGATATAAACGTAGGTCGTAAAAGTAAAGATGAACAAACCTATACTGGTTTGGGTTGCCAAGCAGCTCTTCTTGCGGCCACGCTTCTTGAAGGCTGCCAAGTTGAAGCGCATGCGCCCCCACAGGGCCGGCCGGTTGCTAAACAAGTGGCTGGTGTGCCAGCATCCATGAAAGCAACTGCTCTCCACTGCGGACTGGGCTATGCACACCATTCGTCAGATATGCAGGCTCTACGGCACACACGAATTTCTTTTACGGGTTGTATTGCTGTCACTCGGCGGTGTGAAACTGGCCAGTAGGGCCTAACCACCGTTCTAAGCTCGCAACCATGCAAAAACCGAGGTTAACATCTTTACTTGGAGAAAAACTTCTCTGAACTACAGAGGCTGGATACTTAAAGAGACTCCGTATTTCCGCGTTGTGTTTGTGCGCTGCTGATAGACTTGCATCGGCGAATCAGTAACAGAGGGCAGTCATGCAATGTACGCATTTCCTATTTGTGCGATGTTGCGGGGAACCAACCACGGCTTCAAGTCATCAGTTTAATAGGAGAAAGCATTAGACAAAGAGGGCAGCCGACCGGCTTCTCATTGTTTCGAATGAAACCTGGTCGGTTTTCTCTCTTTGGGAACAGAAGCAAATGACAGAACTTGATAATATCCCCTGCGCAGTGCTATGTATTTTCCGCTCAGTTTTCGCGTTGCTTCTGTTTTGATAGCCTGCACAGTTTCACCATGCCTTGAAGGGGTCCTTGTTGGGGTCAACAGGCGGCGAGTCGTCCTTTTCATCGGGATACGATTCAAAGTTTGACAGGTCATCAACGCCCTGAAACAAATAAATTCCAAACACCTTCCCTTTTGTTTTCCTGCATCTTGATGAACAATGTGGCCTACCACAGATACAGCCCTGCAAACCACCTTTGCTGCAGCGGTCTGTCGCGCAGGTTTTACGGGAGTTCGTTTTGCATAAACTTCAGCGTAGGCGGGTAGGACACGTCCACCTCGGCTGTAGTCCTTTAAGCAGACGAATCAACTGCGGTGCTTTGTGTGCTAAAATGACAAAATTTTGTTATGTATAGAAGCCGAAAAGGGGAACTGTCGAAGGAAACGAAAAGGGCTTTTGAGCCATAGGCCGGCACCGTGAGGGCAGTCCATGGCGGCGCACTTTGATGACTGGTTTGAATTCTGCTGGAATTCGCTTGGCTCGGATATCCTCGAAGCAGACAGTTGAAAACCATTTGCATTCTTTAATGTCGCGCACGCCGTCCTTCAGGTTTCCCCAACGCTTGCTTAGGTCTGCCTGGAGAAGCTTCCGTACAAGAAGCTTTGCATCTCTGTGCAACCAACAATTCAGTAGGAAGTTATTCCAAGTGCCTAGGACTAGTCGCAACAGTCCAAGTCCCTTGTACTGTGCGTTTGGTGCGCATTGTAAAGGCTCTGGAGCGAAACATCGATTTCTAGCTCTGTTTTAACCTGATCCAGCGTTCTCCCCTCACTTGTCAAAAAACTTGGGGAAGACGTATTTACCGCTCAGAATCTTCTGGTAGATCCCCAAAGGGTCGTCGTCAAGGAAGGGAGGATAGCCGACAATCATTTCGTAAATCAAGATGCCTAACGTCCACCAATCCACAGGTTTCCCGTGGCCTGCAAGAGTATCTCGGGAAGCGCAAGCATACCATTTTGATTTAATTCTCCTCACATATGCCATATATATGCCCATGCATTTGAAGATCAATTGGTAAATGCAACAATAAGCAAGCCCAACTTGAAGCGCATACCTTTGTTAAGCAACACTTCAGGTGCGATGTACTCGGGAGTGCCACACAGAGTGTCTGTACGGAACTCCACGACTTTAGCGAAGCCAAAATCTGTAAGTTTGACGTAGCCGTCGCGATCAAGGAGCATGTTTTCCGGCTTCAAATCCCTGAGGAGGAGTGGTGGGGCAAAAAAGGAAAATACACTGAGGACCCGATAGGGCTGCTCACTACCCTGCGCTGCATGCAGCGGCTTCAACTCGCGAAAAAGTCTTAAGGAGTTCGAAAAACCCAAAGCTGACCTGTAAATGATGTTGTCAGCGTGCAGGTAGTCAAATATATCAACAATCATCGCGGCATAGAATTTCGCAGTGTCGTTTTCAAAGCGCTTTTTCTTTCGCAGATGCGTAAAGAACTCTCCTCCTGCCCGTGCAAAACCCCATCAGGCAAACCAGTGGACCAGGAGAAATTCATTTCAGGGCGCAAGTCACAAAGCCCCACAAAAGTTGTGTGAACCAGGCCATAAAACTCAAGCCAAAGCCTGGCCTCATGTGTGGGAGCTAACAGAAGCAAGGAGGCAAGACGAACCCTAGTACTACTGTATCAATACGGCGCACAGTACTGCCATTGGTTTTTCATTACCTTGGACAAATTCCATTACAAGGTACAAATATCGGGGGTCTTGGAAAGTCCCGAAACAGCGGACCTGCAGCACAGTATGAACTGAAACGTGCAGCTACGTACACCTCGCTGCACCCGAATATTTCAAGTTATTATTACGAGGATTTGTGGGGGGCACCCTTCCGATTCGCACTGAGAGGCTGTCAGTGAATCGCGTCCATTCCCACCGTAAGCGGGTGGTCCAACTTTAAAAGAATAGCCTTTTCGTTGAGGATATGGTCGACGTGTTTCAACTTTATAATGCTGGCCTTTTTTAATATCTTGATCGCCACGCGGGGAGGGACCTGCGTGGTGTCTTCCAAAGATACACCGCGGGACTTGAGGTACTTCGCACACTTCACCCGCCCAAAGGACCCTGAATGTAGAGGGCATTATTAAATATACCATCTACTTAACCTAGCGTTGCGTCATTTCCCTTATTGCACTTCTGCACACGAAAGATGCGTTCATGAAGACTGTCGTAGCACGCGTTCATTAAGACTGAATTAAGTGTGGGCTCCAAACAAACAAGTGCGCCGTGTATCCACTAGTTTCAAAGGCAAACTCTCGTGGTGAAAGAAATCAAATACAAGCGAGAAAACGAAGGACACGGCAGCAACAATTATGGCGAGGCAGTTTGCGAACAAACAGCAAAAGGCTGAATGAAACTCTGAGGCTGTCCACTTCCCGCATCACCAACCCAGCATCAAACAAAGAAGAGTCAACAACGGATAAAACAAATTAACGACGCAACACGTCTGCATTTGGTACGCTCCAAATATTTCTTAGAAAGCCCTAACCCCTAAAACCTAAACCCTAATCAAAAAAAGCGCAAATGTGTACGCCTCTCTAGAGCCAAAATTTGCATTGGGGAAACAAGCATATCCCTCTTCCCAGCAATCCCCTGACGTCTAGTTGTCGCGCGAAGATAAAGATATTGGGGTTGTATTGAATGTTTCTGTTTCCTCGTTGTAGCCTTAACGGTCTTTGTGCAGAAGCCTGGGATTGTTGCTTGGCCTCTGCAGCAATTGCTACCCTATCGTTTTTGCATTGCATAAGCATTTGTTAGCTTTTCAAGCTCTCATTTATAAGCAGAAGTAGCTTAGAGAAGAAGATGGCTTGCAGCTGATGGGGGCTTACCGGTGCCAAGGATCGGTCCGAATTCGAAGGCTTCCTTCCCCGTGTTAGGGGGTAACATGGGTCTGCTCATTTTCGCTAGCTGGGATTAAAACGGGGACTGCAGAAGCTAGCTTTCTAGCTGCATGAAAGCGGCTATTCTCTTCTTTTCTCTGCCTCGCCGTTATTTTGTTGGGGCGCAGCTCCTCCTACCACAGATCTGGTGTCCGTGTCAGCCGCCCGCCTTCTACTCAGGCTGAGGGCTCTCGGGCCAGATAGTTGATCTAGTTATTTTTCGTGAGCCCTTTGTGGATTGTTTCGGGTGCAGGGGAGAGGAGAAGATAGGCTGCGAAGGCAGCAGCAGGCAGCAAGAAGGATAAGGGGGGGTTATAAGGGCATTTCCAGCGAGTTCGGTCTAATGGACTTGCCTACAACACGTCAGACAGACAAACCCTCTAAAAGGCAGATGGGACTTCTTGCTGCTGCTCTCATAGGCGTCAGCTTGCTGCTGATGCGCAGCAGCAACAGCCGCACCGTGGCTTCCAGGCCTCCAGCTCACACGATCGAGTTCCGGCCTATTGTATTTTTGCGTAAATTTGCTGTCTAAATAGAAGGTATTAACTGCACAACACTGTATTTCAGTTCAACAGGAAAATACAAACCCAAAATGAAGCCCGAAAACAGCAGAGCGAACAGGTGACCCACAGGGCCTCACACCACGGGGCGCTTCCCAAGGCAGCAGAGCGGTCTAGGGAACGTTTATGCGTTTCGATTAGAAAACAATTTAAAACATTGATATTAAACTGGCTCAAGTGAAACACTTAATTTAGGCTACAGAAGAACTATACTTTACAGGGAAACGTACAGAAAAAGATCGCTCCACCTCAGCAGCGACCGAAACAGGGAGGTAGTAGACCCCTCCTTGCTGTGCTCCTAGCCTCGCAACATTCGCTGCGAAGTAAAAAATTAATTTAAACTTTTAATTTTTTTATCTCTTTCATCCAATAAGGGTCTCTGGCTTGTGTTTCAATGCAACAGTAGAGAAAGCGGCTGATTCGCGCGGGCACGGCGCTCGGGACTCGAACACCTCAGAGCAAAGAGGAGCAAAAGCACACTCCCTCAACTATTAGTTTTAAAAAATAATTGAAAACAGCCAAGGCCTTCTCTACACAGACAGACTCCCCACTGTTCGTGGTTATGGGCAAATGGACTGCTAACCTCGGTTCATCTTTTTGTTCCCTTTGTCTCACACGCATGTGTGTATATTTATATGTAGGCAAATAAATACCAAAGGAAATAATCATGTGCATTAGTAACTATACGTAAAATTATGTACACCAAAATTTTCTGCAAATATATGCGCACAATTCCAAACGTATTTAATACGTATAATATCAATATTATAGATATATATACATACATATATAATCCAGATAATAATGTATTATAAATATTATATACAGTAGATGTATATGCATATGCATATGCATATGTATATATTTACATATCCACCCACGTCTTTGGTAAAAACAATGTTTTGATTAGACGGAGTTGGTAGAGTTCAGTAAAAAGTTTGCGTTAAGTAAAGGGATTTGTAGAGAGTGAATGGCAAGGGACAGACGCAGACAAACTTTCTTTTAAAAGCAAATGCAAAGCAGCAAAAGACAAGAGACTGAAGGAGCGACCGCTTCTGCCTTCCGCAAACAAAGCGAGAGGCCTCCGCAGGATTCCTTTCATTATACAGACAGTGCACACAACACACTATGTGCACATATATCTATATACATATTATATATATATGTATATTGCGTATGAATATGTATCTTTTTACTTATTTATAAATGTATACACTATATATGTACAACATGTGCATGCGGCACATGGGAAAGAAACTCATTTCTGTACATGCACATATAAATGTATAAAAATAAATATATATAAGTATATATTATAAAAGATATATTTCCGGGCATATTCTATATATGCATACACTTGTACACGCGCTTGCCTATGCACGCCCAGATGTATGCGCATACAGGTCTGTATATACGTGAAAATGTACACACGGCAGTTGCTAAGACTTTCTTCTAAATTGCACTTTATCTGTTGAATGCAAAAAGAAGTGCAGCAACAGAAAGTCTAAACAGAAAGGGACCGTAGCTGCTCCAGCATCTGAGACACACAAACGACCCCAACCCACACACATACATGCACCAGCATCTCGCAACCTTTAAACAGAACTTTATTATTTATTTATTTACGTATTTATTTACTAAAGAATTAATCAATTACTTAATTGATTACTTAACTAATTCAATGTTTGCTTCGTCAATTTGTTATTGAATAAATGCATATTTCCGTGCATACGGCAAGGGGACCTCGAATTGCTTTATTTGCGTCTTTGTATTATTAATTAAAGACGAGAATTTATTTATTGTAGTTTATAATTGACAAAGGCCGCACCGGCCGCAACTTCTTATTGTGTGCAACTGTAGCAGCATGCACATAAAACGTATATTCATAAGCATTTGCATTTATTATAATATCTACATGTGCTGAGACAAATACAGTTCCATTATCCAACGGAAAAATACATTTCTCTGCGTGGAGACGTATCGATTTATTTCTGTATCCGGGGTGTACAGACAGTTTTCTTTGAGGCCCTGCTTTACATTTATGTCTTATAGCACTTGGGTTTATCAATACATTACTCAATCATTCAGACAAAAGGAATACTTCTCCTCACCTGGCTAGCAGAAGGCCTGCGTTTAGGGTCAAAAGAGAGGCACGAACGCAGCAGCTGCTCCAAAGGGGAGGGCAGGTTAGCAGGGAATGTAGGGAGCTGCAAGGCAAAAGAAAGGGAAAAGAAGCAAAGTAGAGCCATATTTATATGAAATAATGCACCTTAGTAGCAAACCAAACGAATACATAAAATACAACAACAAAAACTAATACAAGAAGTAAAGAAGGATGCAGTGAAATACAAACAGCGTACTGAAGCTGAACGCATGCTCCTACGCAAACAAAATGCATCGCAACAAAACCAGTATACGAATATGAAAATACATTTAGGTAAAACGATAACATAAAATAATATACTTAAATTTAAATCCCCAAGGAGAAAGCCAGTATGGAATTGACGCAAACGGGGTTCAGGTTGCTACACAAGATACACCACAAGAACCACCTAGAAAAACAAATAAATAAGCAACAGATTCCACTGCATCATTTACATCCTTCTCAATCCTTAAAAAGGAATCAAGCCTAAAGACGACACAGAGACAAAAGACCCCAGCTTAAAAACCCCAGAGCTGAAGCAGAAGCTGCTGCAGCTGCTGCTGCGAAGAAGACGGAAAAAGGTGCATGCATGCGCACCACTCTGTCTGCATGTTGTTTTTGTATTTCTTCGAACGTCTGGCAGCGGTGATAAGGCAAAGGGCCCCCAAACAACTCCAGCAAAACGCATGCAGCAGACCAAATGTCCAAGGAAGGATCCAAGTGCGTCGCCACTGCAGAGACACCCAACACCTCACTCAAACCCGCAAAGCCTGAAGGTAACGATATACACTGCTGTACAGCTAGTTATACACGCACGTTAGCTAGCGCCACAGCTAGCTGCATACCTAGCTATGCATACACCAGATAGTTGCCCAGCTAGCTGTGCATCTAGCTACAAATACATCACAAAGATGCACTAGATATGCATGCACCAGCTAGCTGCCAAGCTAGAGACGTATACACCAGCTAGCTACACTCAGCTCCCTAGCTGAACCAGATAGCTAGCTGGCGTTTAGTGGCTAGCTAGCTAGCTTGCTTGCTAATTACGCATAGAGCAGCTGCTGCTGGCTAGCTGCTCATTCCAAACGAAACTCGTGTGCGGCTAGCTAATCTTTGCAACAGATGATGCAGCGAAGCAGCTGGTGCAGCACGAACCTCCAGCTGCCAGCTCGGGGGGCATATAGCGAGGGGAGCCCGCAGGCTGCAGCGGCTCTTTAGGGAGGATGAGGCGCATTGAAGCGGTGAGGCTGCGACTGGTGCTGCTGCTGTTGCCAGCAGCAGCAGCGGCAGCAGCACTCGGCACATCAGCTTCAGCCGCCAGGCCAAAGTCGCACAGCTTCGCGTTGCCAGCCCCATCCAACTGCACAACAGAAAGCAAGCCTCAACAAAGAGTACATTTCGACAAAAGATATTTACATTTGTTTTGCTTTTGTTCTGCTTTTCTTTCTGCTGATGCAATGTGTCTTCTCTTCTACTTCCTCCCCGACTGCTGCAGCAGCAGCAGCTGCTGCTGCAGCAAGAACATCAGCACTTTGAGCAGCACCAGAACAAGCAGAAGCACCAGCTTCAGTAGCAGCAACAGCACCACCTTATGCAGTGGCAGCACCACGTGCAGCGGCTTAAGCAGAAGCAGCGTAACCAGCAGCAGCACGAAAAGCAGCAGCAGCAGCAACGGCTTAAACAGTACCAACAGCAGCTTAAGCCGCAGCACGACAAGAAGCGGCTCACGCAGCAGCAGTTGAGACAGCAGCAACATCATCAAGAGGACAAGCACTAGGTTAAGCAGAAACAGGATAAGCAGCAGCATAAGCAGCAGCACCACCACCGCCAGCTTAAACAGCAGCAGGAGCAGCAACTCACCACGATATTGAGCGACTTGATATCTCTGTGTACTATGGGCGTCGGCCTGCAGTGTAGATACTGTAGCGCCGCCACGAAGTGAAGAGCAATAGCCAGCCGTTGCTGCAGCAGCAGCGCAGCTCGCTGCTCGTGCAGCAACCAGTACAGGCTGCCCCCTGTATCCTCACACAACACCAGAAGCAGCAGCCGCAGCAGAAGCAGCAGCAGCAAAGCAGAGACTCTGGCGCTTGCTAGCCGTACACACCGTGCTGCGGAAGCAGCTAGAAGCATGTTTGAATGCACAAACACCCGGTGGCGCTCATACACCCCATGAAACCTACATGTACACTGGAGAAAAGTTGCACATACACCCGAAAACAGCGGCACGTATAGCCAAAAAGAATGACATGTACAGCCTGCGGTGTAGCTGCTAAGCATACCACTGCAGAGCTCCATTACTAGGGCGACACGGTAGTGCTGTTGCTGTCGCGCCTGCTGCTGCTTCACCTGCTGCTGCTGCTGCTGCGTCTGCTGCTGCTGCTGCTGCCTGCTGCTGCTAGACAGCAGAGACACCCCAAGAAGTTTAACTATGCACGGGTGGTCGAGGCTCTGCAGCTGCTGCACTTCCTGCTGCAGTTCCTGCAGCGAAACTGTTTCCTCCTCTGCCCCCAGAGGATTTGCTGGTGCTGCTGCTGCTGCTTCGTGCTGCAGCGAAGGGGAAACCCGCATGCACTTAAGAGCGACGGGCATCCAGCGAGGCCCAGAAGCAGCAGCAGCACCCACTGCAGCAGCAGCACGTTGCTGATGCACCAGCAGCTCAGCGACCCATACGCGAGAGAAGCCGCCTCGCCCTATCTCAAAGAGACACCTCAGCATGTGCTGGGGGAAAAGAGGAGGCAGTTGCTTCAACCCTTGCAGCAGCTGATGCAGAAGAGCCTTCTCTGCCGCTGCTGCTGCTGCCGCTGTCGTTGCTGCCGCTGCACTCGCTGTTGGGGCTGCTGCTGGCGCTGCAGCAACCACCGGAATCAAACTGGCAGACGGCTGTGCTGCTGCTGCTTGCACAACCCTCACAGGGGTGCCCACTGCTGCATAGTTCACTACTGCTGCTGCTGCTGCTGTTGCTGCTGTTGCTGGAGCAACTGCAGCAACAGGCATTAGAGCCCCCACAGGCCGCAACACGGCAGGCTGGTACAGGAGACGTGGGCAATGTTGCTGCTGCTGCTGTTGCTGCTTCTTTTGGTACTGAAGCAGGTGCTTCACTTGTTGCTGCTGCTGTAGTTGCTGTCGCTGCAGTTGGTGTTGCAGTTGAAGCTGATGCTGCTGTTGCAGCCGCAGTTGCTGCTGCGGCTGCAGCTGCTGCTGCACTGCAGCAGCACACGGATGTTTCACCAGGAAGTCATCATGTGTAGGGAAATGCTGCACCAGTCTCAGCACCTGCGGTAGCTGTTGGTGCTGCTGCTGCTGCTGCTGCTGCTGTTTTCCCTCTTGCTGCAACAGCAGTTCGTGCTGCTGCATCCCACCTGCGGCCTGAGTAACACGCGTTCCTTGCTGCTGCATGAGCGCAGCACGCAGATATTGCTCCTGTTGCTGCTGATTCTGCTGCTGCTGTTGCTGGTGCTGTAGCATGTGTTGTAGCACTGGCTGCTGCGGCAAGTGCTGCTGCAGCGGAGCAGTTTCCTGAAAAAGCGCAGCACTTCGCGGGGATAGAGACCCAGGCAGCAGTAGCTGCTGCTGTTGTTGCTGCTGCTGCTGTTGGTAATGCGCTCGCTGCTGGTGCTGCGGGGTTTGCTGCTGCTGCGGCAGCACCCACGAGGGCAACTGCTGCGTCGTCTGCCTCTCAGGTGTACACATTCCCTGCAGAACGAAGCCTGGGGCGTTGCTGCTGCTGCTGCTGCTGCTCGTGGTCGTGGTGAATCTATAAGAGAAAAAAGAGCTGTCCCACTGGTTCCATTTGTTTTGCTGCTGCTGTTGTTGTTGCTGGTGCGACTGCTTTTCCCGCTGCTGCAGCTGCTGCTGCTGCAATTGCTGCTGCTGCTGCTGCGGCAGCGCCAACAGTTGCTGCCGCGGAGAAGCGTCTGCTGCCCTCGTTGCTGCGTGGTCTTTTGCTGCTCCAGAAGCTGCTTCTGTTGGCCTTGGCAGTGAGAGCTGTGCTGCAGCAGCACTTGCTGCTGGCTGCCTGCTGCCGGCTGCAGCACCGGGTAGGCCAGCAGGTGCAGCAGCAGGCCCAGCAGCAGCAGCAGCAGCAAGCCCAGCAGCTGCTTGCGTTGTCCTCCCTCGGGGAAGATTTGAGCCGGATTGTCCACTCGCCTGGTGCATTTGTTGCTGCTGTTGGAGCTGCTGCTGCTGCTGCTGCAGCTGAAGTAGCTGCTGCTGCAGCTGTTTCTGCAGCTGGCGCTGCTGTTGCAGTAGGTGCTCCTGCTGACGCTGCCGTTCCTGCTCCCTCTGCAGCTGCACTTGCTGTTGCTGCTGCTGCACGTGATCCTCAGGCCGCTTCTGCTGCTGCTGCTGCTGATGTTGCAGCTGCTGCTGCTGGTACTCTAGCAGCTGCTTTGATGGGTGCTGGTGCTGAGGAGCAGTAGAAGCAACGGTAGCAACAACAGTGCTTGCTACTGTTGCTGTTGCTGCTGTGCTGCACGTTTGCTGCTCTTTTGCTGGTATGTTTTCGGGTGTTTGACAGTCTGTAAGGAGGCGTAGGGCCGTTGATTCTGCTGCTGTTTCTGCTGCTGCTGATGCCTCCTGCAGATGAGCAGCAGCAGCTGCTGCACCTTTTGCAGTAGAACAAGCATTCGAATTAAGAATCGGCAGCAGACGCTGCGGCGACTTTGTACGCAGTCCCCTTGGTGCACATTCGTGCTGCACGAACCGCTGCTGCTGATTTTGCAGCTGCTGTTGCTGCTGTTGCTGCTGCTGCTGCAGCGGCTTTGGAGAGGCAGAGAAATAAGGAGCTGCTGCAGCAACATCTTTCTGCGGGATCCGCAGCACGCGCTGCCCCGTGAGCGCAGTAGCAACCCCTGCTGCAGCTGAAGTAGCAGCAGCACCTCCCGTCGCAGCAGAGGCAGCAGCCGCTGCTGCTGCAGCGTCTGATGCTGCTTCTGCTTTTCCTGCTGCTTCTGCTGCCTCTGCTGCTGCAATTGCTGCTTTGAGGATCTTGCCCAGAGAAGCAACAGCAGCTAGAAGGTCCTTTGCAGAGCGGCCCTGCGGGTCGCCAACCCACCCATTGCTGATGTTGTTGCTGTGCTGCACCTGCTGCTGCTGCTGCTGCTGCTGCAGCAGTGCCCACAGTTCCGTCGCTATTGGTTCGACAAGCGGCAAATAGTTCAGGCCTAGCAGGGCCGTCCCTCCTCGGCTGCTGCTGCTGCTGCTGCTGTTGCTGTTGCTGCTGCTGCTGCATGCGTTCTGCAGCAATTCGCGCAGCTGCGGCAGGTGCAGTACGGCGGAGTGGAGGGACACGGATACAAGTTGCTGCAGCAGGGCTGGGGTTTGGCTGCTGCAGGTAGAGGCGCGCTGCAGCAGCAGCAAACGGTGTCGTTCTCTGGCAGCAGCAACGGCGAGATATGCTGCTGCGCAGCCCGTGAGTTCAGGTGTATAGGCAGCTCGCCGCCGCTGCAGAGCAGCCAGCAGCACAGAAATGGCTTCTGTGTTGCTGCAGCAGCAAAGAAGCGCCAACCCCAATCGCGTCTGACTCTGCAAGTCGGGGGAGAGCCGCACTGCTGCTCTTGCTGCCTTCAAAGCCTCTTCCTCCCTGCTGCTGCTGCTGCTGCTGCTGAGAAGGTAGACAAAACACTTGGCAGACATAGCTGCTGCTAAAGTCTTCAGGGGCAGATGCCGCTGCAGCAGGAGCTTGTCGCACACCCTCGCCGCATCGGCCAGCAAAGCCAAGGCTTGTTGTCTTGCTGCTGCTGCTGCTCCTGCTTCTGCTGTTGCCGCTGTTGCTGGTGCTGCTGTTGGTTCAGCGCTGGACTGCTGCAGCAGCCGCTGCGCGTGGCACGTAAACACCTCCGCCTGCATGTGCTGCCAGCGAGCAATAAGCGACTCATCGTTGCTGCAGCAGCCAGCAGCAGCAGCAGCAGCAGCAGTGCTGGCCCCAGCAGCAGAAGCAGCCGCAGCAGCAAGAGCAGCAGGAACATTTCGGTCTCTCCTCGGAAGGGACGGCAGCGGTAGGGGGATAACGAGGCTGAGAGCTGCACTTGTTAGGGCCTTGCAGTGTAGAGACGCAGCAGCAGCAGCACTTGCTGCTGCTGCTTCTTTGTTACTCGCTGCAGCAGGGGCGCGCTTTCCTGCTGTCGCTGCCGCTGCAGCAGCAAGTGCAGCAGCAACTGCGTCGTTTGGATCGCAAGCAGTACGCAGCAGCTTTCCTAGCATTTCGGTCTGCCCTACCACGCGAGCGCTGCTGCTGCTGCTGCGGCGAGTAGCAGCTGCCAGGGCTAGCTGCAGCGCGAGAGCAGCAGCTGCTTCCTGCCTCAGCTTGAGAAGCATGTGGGCGTACAGTGCCCAGAGGGAGTCGTCTGCTGCTTCTGTTGCAGCAGCAGCAGCAGCAGCAGCAAGTGCTCGCTGCAGATGGATACTTGCTGCAGCAGGAGCAGCAAATGCAAGGGCGAGCCGCCCCAGACTCTTGCAACAGAACCACCTGCAGCAGAAAAGAGACAGCAGGAGACGCACATCATTCCTTCGTACAAAGAGATCTGCTTCGATACCCCGGCTGTCTCTTCTATGCCAACTGCAGCAGCAGCAGCAGCGGCAGCGGTAGCAGCAGGAGCAAGGGCGATTGTAGCAGAGGAGCGGCAGCAGCAGCACAAGTGCATTCTCACTCAAGAGACGACGCGATGACAGCAGCTTCGCGCAGTTGCTGCTCCTGCTCAGCCTCTGCTGCTGCTCCTGTTGTTGCTGCTGCTCCTGTTGCTGCTGCTGGCAACAACACCAGCGGAGCAGCTCGCTGAGCCTCACTGAAGCACGAAAAAAGTGCTGCTGCGTCTTCCCCACACAGAAGCGCAGCAGGAAGCAAGTGGGGCGGCCTCAGCAGCAGGGGCTTCTCTCCAGCTGCTGCTGCTGCTGCTGCTGCTGCGGGGTTGCTCTCTCTGCTGCTGCTGCTGCTGTGGGCAAGCAGCGGCTGCAGCAGCAGCAGCAGCTGCTGAAATCTTTTTTCTGCCTCGCGATAGTCTCTGTAGTAGAGAGCAAGAGCAGCAAGCATCATTAAGATCCCTGCGTCTCGCGGGTTTGCTGCTGCTGCTGCTCGTAGGAGCAGCAGAGAATCATCAAGCGTCTGCGCAGATACAGAAACACGCTGCAGCGCAGCAACCAGGCCCCCCTCTCCCTGCTGCTGCTGCTGCTGCTTCTGCTGGCGTTGCGCCTCTGTTCGCTGCAGAGCGACAGGCAGACTGAAGAAGGCAGCAGCAGAGAGTGTGATATCGTGCAATCCATATTCTTCTCTGCTGCCGTGCTGCTGCAGCTTCTGCTGCTGCTGCTGCTGCAGTGCTGCTGCTGCTAAGGCGGGTGCCGCCTGGGCACCGTTCGCGCTGAAGACAGCAGCAGCAAGAAAACAAGGAGATACACCTCAACGAGCGGACACTGTTAACCCCAGCCTAAGCCCTAAACCCTAAACCCTAAACCCTAAACCCTAGCCCCCGCCGAAACCCTAAACCCTAAACCCTAAACCTTATCACCCGACTAAACCCTATACCCTATTCCTAACTGCCAAACACCAGACTCTAAACCCTAGCACTCAAGATCGAAGCCTTTTAGGGTAAATGCCGCTGCAAATTCTTATTCAGGAGTTAGGGTTTAGGGTTTAGGGTTTAGGCCGACCCTAAGACAAACTGAAGATCATCCGATGCACCTCCGAGCGAATTCATCTCCCCCCTCTGCAGCACTTTATTTGTGCATTTGCTGCTGCTGTTGCTTCTGCTGGCGTTGTTGCTGCTGCTCTCGTTGTTGTTGCTGCTGCTGCTGCTGCTGTTGCTGCTGCTGCTGCTGTTGCTGCCGCTGCTGCAAGTGTTGGCGTCGTCTTCAAGCTCAGCAAGGATAGCCATCTTTTGCTTCTCAAGCAGCAGCAGCTGCTCCTCCTCTTCTATCAGCTGCTGCAGCTGCTTCTGCTGCAGCACCGACAGACCTTCCCTCATCTTCTGCAGCAGTTGTCTCTGGGTAGATATAGGGCATTCAGCAGCAGTAGCAGCAGCAGCAGCAACTTCTGCTGCTGCCACGCTTGTCCCCGTTGCCTCTGGAGCGCTTACCCAAGATGTATCGTTCTGCTGCTGCTGTTGCTTCTGCTGCTGCTGTGTTTGGGCAACAGCGGAGAAAGCCGCTGCACCTGCAGTTAGTGGTGTCTCGTGCGCTGCTGCTGCTGTTAGTGCTGGTGCTGCTGTTGGTGCTGCTGCTGTTGTTGTTGCTGTTACTGCTGTTGGTGCTGCTGCTGCGCTCGCGCGGGGTCCACGACAGCCTATAGCCTCCTCGAACTGCAGCAGAAGCTGCTGCTCTTCTGCAGCAGAGAACGACGTTGCTGCTGCTTCCTCACACAAATCCGATAAGAGAGACAGGGACTCGCCGTGAGGCTGCTGTCGCTGCTGCTGCTGCTGCTGCTGCTGCTGCTTCTGCTGTTTCTGGCCGTTTGGTGGTTCCTCCAGGAGGATGTCTTTATACTTGCTGCTGCTGCTTCTGCTGTTTCTGTGTGTAGGTAGCGTTTCATCGCGGGCTGCAGTAGCAGGAGTTGCAGCAGCAGCAGCAGCAGATGCAGCAGCAGCAGCTGCTGCTGCTGCCAGCTGCTGCACGCCTACTTCTGGAGAAGCTGCTGCAGTGCAGCAGTTTTCGTCTGCAGCGCAGAAGGAGACAGAAGTGGGGGTGTTGTCTCTGCTGCTGTAAGGAGACACGAGGCCTACTGAGGGGCCGATGCTGGGTTCAGGGGAGCAGTTCGCTGCTGCAGCAGCAGCAGCTGCTGCTGCTGCTGCATCAACCGCTGCAGCAGCAGGAGCAGCAGCAGGTAATGCTGAGGCCGTCGCAGACTCTGCTGCCTTTTGCGCTGCTGCTCCTCCACCTGCTGCTGCTACTTCTGTCGCTGCTTCTGTTCCTGTGGCTGCCGCAGCTAACTCTGCTGTTGCTGCTGGTGCCCCTGATGCTGCTCCTGCTGTTGCTGCTCCTTCTGCTGCTGCAGATTGCTCTTGAGAAGCAGCGGATTCGGAGACCTCTATAATCTCCGGTTGCTGCTGGTCTTGCTGCTGCTGCTGCTGCTGCTCGTGTTGCTGCTGCTGCTCTTGCTGCTGTTCTTGCTGCTGCTGCTGCGCAGGCGCCTCCTCAAAAACAGCGCTTGACGTGTCAACGGAAGCAGGGTCTGCAACATTCTGCTGCTCTTCTTCTGGTTGCTGCTGCTCTTCTGGCTGCTGCTGCTGCTGCTGCTCTTCAATTTCTGCTGCTGCTTCTCTGCTGTTGCCCAGATCCCCCTCTACAGCTGCACATTGGAAGGTCTCCTCGGTCCGCTTCTGCTGCTGCTGCTGCATTTGCTGTTGCTCCCCAGAGGGCGGCTGCAGCAACTGCTGCACTTCGTGCTGCTGTGGTGGCTGCGGCTGCTGCTCGTGCTGCGGCAGCTTCTGCTGCTGCTGCTGTTCCCCGAGTAACAGCAGCAGCTGCTGCTGTTGCTGCTGAAGTTCTTCTTCTTTGAGTTGAGCCTCACAGGCGCCTCGTGGGGTGTTGCCGCCGCTGGTGCTGCTGCGGCTGCTGCTGCTGTTTGCTGCTGTTGCTGTTGTCGCTCGGTTGCGGAAGCTGCAGCAGACCAAAGCGGTTTTACTTTGTTGACTGCAGCAACAGCCGCAGATACAACCACCCGCATCATGGGTTGCTGCTGCTTGAGTTGCTGCGCTGCAGCAGCAGCTGCTGCTGCCAATCCCTCCGGGGAAGGTATACCTTCGCACTAGTTGGCCTGCAGCAACGGTTGTGCTGCAGCAGCACAGGTGACCATTGCTGCTGCATTTGCTGCTGCTGCTGCTGCTGCTGCTGCAGGGGTTCCTCAGGGTACTCCACCTGTCGCTCGGCCAAGAGCTGCTCAGAGCCTTCGCTGTTGAGGGAGGCTCTAGAAGACAGACGCCATCGAAGCCTGTTGCGTAGCTGTTGCTGTTGCTGCTGCTGCTCCTCCTGCTGCTGCTGCAGCAATTGCTGCTGCGCGTTCTGGGGGACCTGAGGTCCCCCTTTGTTTCGGGCATTTCTGCTGCTGCAGGAGGCGCAGACGACTGCTGCTGCTTCTCCTGCTGCTGCACCTGCTGTTGCTGCTGCTTCTCCTGCTGCTACACCTGCTGTTCCGTAGGGTACTAATCCTTGGTGGGCTTACGGGTCGTCTGCCTCTGCTGTCGCTGCAGCAGCAGCAGCCGCAGCCGCTGCTGCGGTTGCTGCTACCGCTATTACTGCTACTGCTGCTGCTTGTGTTGCTGCTGCGCTGCGGCAGCAGCAGCAACACAAGCTGGATCCAAAGAATGCAGGAAGAAGCAAAGGGGGCAGCAGCAGCAGCAAGCGGAGCTGCACCTGCTGTTGCTGCTGCTGCTGCTGGTGGTCTACTGCAGCAACTGAGACGGATCGCGGCTGCGGGTGTATCTGCTTGCTGCTGTTTGTCTGCAGTGCATGCAGTGATTAAAATAACTAAAATAAAAAATAAATAAAGGAAGCAAAAAAGCAAAAAACAAAGAAAAGACAAGAATTAAATCGCCCCCCTCCCGGCGGCGAGGCGCCGCCCAAAACCCTAAACCCTAAACCCTAAACCCTAAACCCTGTGAATAGAGTGCAGGGGAAGAGAAGAAGAAATAATAAAAAATTATCATTAAATAAACCCTATTTAGCATTTATTCAAAGTTAAAGGCAGAAAAAGACAACAAAAACAGCAGCAGCAACACAAACAAACACTGCAGCCCCTTCACCGACCGCTGCCGACACAGCGCCCCCAGCAGCAGCAGCAGCAGCAGCAGCAGCAGCAACTGCAGCAAATATGGAATATTAGATCCATCCAAAACAATTATAATTCGTTTTTAATTCATTCGGCTAGTAAGGAGCCTGTACATCCTCATACTCTAATAACGTAGCAGCAGCAGCAGCAGCAGCAACAGCAGCAGCAGCAGCAGCAGCAAGAACAGCAGCAGCAGCGCTGCCGTTGGCGGCTGCTGCAGCTGCTCTTTCCGGATGCAGCTTAACCAAGTAGCGAGTAGGCCTAATAGATCGCAGCATGAGGAATATGTTGGCTTGCTTCGGCGAATCGTAGTTTAGGGTTTAGGGTTTAGGGTTTAGGGTTTAGGGCTTAGGGCTTAGGGTTTTACTGGGCGTCCCCTCGTGCAGCGCTCGCCGCACCGAGCCCTTTCTCCCCATACTGTTAAGGGTTTAGGGTTTAGGCTTTAGGGTTTAGGGTTTAGGGTTTACTGGAGTAACAATGCGTCAAACCCTGGCGCCCTCCACAGCCTTGAGGTCACCTCAGCAGCAAATCCGAAGCCCCAGCCCCAAATTCTAAACCCTAAACCCTAAACCCTAAACCCTAAACCCTTGATATTCAAAGGCCTTATCTGAACTGGCAGCGGTTCTAAGAGGCTATGAGGAAGAGGGCTTCCAAGGTACGCAACGGGATTAGGGTTTAGGGTTAAGGGTTTGGGGTTAAGGATTTAGGATTTAGGGTTTAGGGTTTAGGGTTTAGGCGGCCCTATCTATGGGGTGTACAGACAGTAGTGGAGAGCAGGCAAAAAGGGTTTATCTCCTTAAAATAAACAAAACAAGTAAAAGACAAACAAATTATATAAATCGAAAGCAAATAAATTTATCAAAATTTTATTTTATTTTATTTTATCGACAATTACATTTTCTTGCAGACCCTAAATAAGCATTTTTAATTGTCTACCGACATCACATCTATATATATGTATATATATATATATTATATATATACATATATATATATGCATATATATATGTATATGTATATATTACATATATTTAGACAAGCGAAGAAATCAGTAAATCTATAAATATGTATCTGTATATATATATATATATGTATATATATACATGCATATATATATATATATTTAGACAACCGAAGAAATAAGTAATTAAATTTCTCTCTCAGTTGCAACCTGTAGCTGCATTGTCTTTTGCTGCTGGTGCTGCTGCTGCTGCTGGCAGCAGCAGAATCCTTTATTGTCTTTGAGGTGTCTATACACCTAAAAAAGCACAATAAATACAGCACAAACAGCAGAATAAGAGTTCAAGAGAAAAGCAACAAAACAAAAAAGACGATATTCTCTCTTTGCTGCTGCTGCCGCGCCACTGCCAACAGCACATGGAGCCGCTAACGGAAAGACGGCGGCTGCTGCTGCTCCCCCAGGACCTGCACCTGCTGCTGTTGCTGCTGCTGCTGCTACGTTTTCTCCTGCTGCTGCTGCTGTTGCTGCTGTTGCTGCTACAGTTGAAGAGAGCGCACAGAAAAATGCCCTTCCAGATCCTAGCAGCGTGTATGACATGGGTAAGGCAGCAGCAGCGGCAGCAGCAGCAGCAGCAGTAACAGCAGCAGCAGCAGCAGCAGCAGCAGCAGCAATCTGGTACACGTAATGGTGCATGCGAAGCGGAGTAGAAAGCCATAGGGAGTTGCAAGCATCAGAAGCAGCAGCAGCAGCAGCAACAGCAGCAGAAACAGAAAATGGAGATCAATAGCAACACCCTTGCAGCAACAGCAGCTCTATCGTGTCACGCAGCTGCCGCAGCAGCAACAACATTAAGCGAATTCTGCTGCTGCTGCTGTTTCTGCTGCTGCTGCCGCTGCTGCTGTTGTTGTTTTTGCTGTTGCTGCAGAGACAGAAGAGCTGCTGCAGCTAAGCCAATGCCTCCAGAATGCACGTGAAGATGCACAGGGTGATCTGCAGCAGCAGCAGCAACGGTTGCTGCTGCTGAACCTCGTGCTGCTGGAGTTAAGAGACAGGAGACACTCCGACTCGCTTCTTAAAGCTGTAGACAAGCTCACTTCCAGTAGCAGCAGCAGCAACAGCAACAACAACAACAAAAACAAAAACAACAACAGCAGCAGCAACAACAACAACATTGAAGCAGAACCCAATCGCCAGAACAGCAACAGCTTGAGTAGCAGCAACAGCTGCAGCAATACGAACAAGAGCAGCACAAATCAAACCAGCAGCAGCAGCAGCAGCTGCTGCGGGATCAGCAGCAGCAGCAGCAGCAGGGAAGTACCTGCAGCAGCTCCTGCTGCTGCTCTGCCAAGTTCTGAAGCCTCTCGCGGGTCTATCATCAAATCAGAGAGCACAACTATCAGCGCCTCTAGGCAGGTAAACAAACCCTAAACCCTAAACCCTAAACCCTAAAGAGATGGGTGTGAATTTCTTCTCATTAGAGACGGAGGCAACTTATCCGTCCTCCACTGAAATGCTTCAGAGGGAAGTGTTGGTTTTGCTTCTTCTGCTGCTGCTGCTGCTGTTGCTGCTGCTGCTGCTGCTGCTGCTGATGCAGGGAAGTAAAGTCTCCCGCTTGTCTCGGAGGGTTGGGGGCCCCATATCTGTTCATCGCAGTCAGCAGCGGCTAAGCAAAGACGAGCAGCTAATGAGGCCTTTGCTTAGCGACCGCCACAAGCAGCAGCAGCAGCAGCAGCAGCAGCAGCAGCAGCAACGGGAGCAACGGCAGCAACAGCGGCAGAGGCAGCAGCAGCAGCAGCAGCAGCAGCAGCAGCAGCAAAAGAGACAGCGCAACAGCAGCAGAAACACCACTAAACGCCAGAGCAGTTCCAACCCCTCGCTGTCCTCAAGACGAACCAGCAGCAGCAGCAGTAGCAGCAGCAGCAGCAGCAGCAGCAGGTACGCTGGAGGCAGCGGCGTGATGGGGTTCTTTCTTCCTCGTCTTCCTTTTCGCTCTGCCTCAGCGCCTTTTGCTGAAAACACCGCAAACAGCGAATTGCCTCAGGACGTACAAAGAGGTTTGTCTTGGGCTGTCACGAAAATAAAGCATAATAATCAGGGTTTAGAGTTTAGAGTTTAGGGTTTAGGGTTTAGGGCATGTTGTTCAGGGTCTAGGGTTTAGTGTTTAGTGTTAGTGTTTAGGGTTTGGGATTTGGTGTGTAGATTTCCTGGCTACGATTTCATCATCCAGGATCTAGGATTTAGGGTGCATGGTTTAGGGTTTAGGGTTTAGGGTTTAGGGTTTAGGGTTTAGGGTTTGTTTCAGCTGCAACATCTGAGGTTATTCCTAAGCCCTTGGAGCCCTCAGCGTGGCGATCGTCAGTAGAAGAGTCCACCGGCACAGGTAGTAAAGAAGCATGTTCGTTGTTTGTGTGTTTGTTTATTTACGCTGTTTCTCTTATTTATTTACTTATTTATTTATTTATTTGTTTGTTTGTTTGTTTTGTTTATTTGCTTGTCCGCCTGATTGGTTGGTTAGCCTTAGTTTGTTTTGTTTTGTTTGTTTTATATGTTTGTTTGTTTGTTTGCTTTTTTGTTTGTTTGTTTTCTGTTTTGTTTTGTTTGTTTTGTTTTGTTTTGTTTCGTTTGTTTGTTTGTTTATTTGTTTGTTTGTTTTGTTTGCTGTTTTGTTTGTTTTGTTTGGTTTTGTTTTGT